CTTGAGAAATGACTTGACGGCACATACGTTTTCTTCTTATTTGACTGGGCAATAAAGTGACGATATTCAGATCTGCCTTTCTAAGTGTCATCCTGATAGATTTTACTAATGCAATGCATGGGTTACTGTAGCAATATAAAATAGCTTAAACCATGCTAAAATCCATTTATAAAATATATTAGAATATAAAGCTGTGGAACTGCCTCTTTCATGAGTTTATGCGGTGTCCCCTCAGTACAAAAATGCACACAGTAAGCAAAATAACATCTGATTCTTTTACCGGAGTGACTGTACCAGCTATGTCTCAGTCACTTTATGTTGTTCCAGAATGCAGTCATATCTGCTATTTTCTACATGAAAGTTGGTATTTGAAGTAACAACTACCCTAAAGGTATCTTCAAGGGATAAAATAGGTGACCTCTCGTAACATAGCTCCCGATATCTTGGCAGCCCAATCTGAGACTCTCCTTTGACCAACATCTAGGCTTCAAAATGGATGTGTGCCAAGCAAGATCCTCCTTATTTGTGGATACAATGGAGGTCAGAATGCTGTACCAATTCCACTAATATCTGTTTCATAGCATTTAGGTCAAGAGGTTACCAGGAGCTCATTATTTCTTATGTCTAGTTCAAATGCAAGCCTTTGCTTTCAATTTCTTGGGCTTATCATCCAATTAGTCCCTGGAACTGGCTACCTAAAAAGTGTTAATTCTGCATCTAGTTTTCAAAAAATTAAATGCTGAATTCTTAGTGCCTTCTCTTCTACATGTCTGTTTATTTCTAAATTGCTAAACCTGTCCATTTCACTTTTCTTATGAACAACTTATATGAGTTTGAGAAATATAAGGTAAAAATTTCTGCAAGCTGGCTAAATAGCTCTGTGAGTTAGATGTATGGTTGCGAGTTCAGTTCTCCACTGTGCCTTCCAGGAGAACCAGCCAGCCTCTAGAGCCTTGGGTAACCTGCACAGTCCCAAAGTTCCTCCAGAAGAAAGCCACGGTAAACCACTTCTGAGTGCTCTATACCAAGAACGCTCACCATAAGCCAGAACTGACTTGATGGCACGTTGTTGTTGTTGTTACTAAAAAAAATTCTCAGTCAAAAAGAGTAAATATCTGTGAAGCTGGGATTCTGCAAGAATAAAAAAAAATCTCAGTCAAAAAGAGTAATATCTGTGAAGCTGGGATTCTGCAAGAAAAATTGCTTAGATTTTAGAACATAGGTCATTAAAGCAGGGGGAGGCAACTTGTGGTCTGTATTTTTAAAGCCTACAAGGCAATCCCACAAATCTCTCAACTGGGATCCAGCCTATGTCCATTGAGATTGCCTGCCCCTGATTAACAGGCTCTAATTAAAACTCTTACAAAGTATTACATGCAAATTCAGTTCTGCATGAGACAAAAAGATTGCATCATCCATATAATTCAATGTGCTGAGTTTGGCAACTTGTTGGTGCAGCTATTTTGAGCTGGAGACTGAGTGATGCTCAGTCATGCTCATGCTGTTTTGGCTTATCTAGAAGCTAAGAATTCTAGGGATGTGAATCTTTCCTTGATTCATCTTCACATGTTAAAAAGAGAGAACTCTCCCCACCTCCTCTATTGTTGTGAGATGGTGTCCTTTTTGTTTTGACTTGTTTTGATAAGTCCTAGAGAAAACGTGCACTCTTTTATAAGCATTTTGGTGCATTTCTGTAAAATATGCAGTTAGAAAATTAAGTTTCCTTGTTGCCTAAAATAAAAAAAGTAGCATAGGACAGGTTGTTTGTATCTTTGTGGTCAATCTTCCTGCCCTGTTATGCTTGCATGCCTGTTTCCTTAGCTGCTCAGATGGAAAAGACCCTAGTTTTCTCCAGTTTTTTACAAGCTATATTTTGTACAACTTTTTTTGGTGGGGGGGAGCCTTATGGAAGAGAAATACTGTAAACTCTTGACATCTCAGTCTTTTGCTGGAGCACAGACCTTGCAATGAGGCTGGAAAAGACGAGGTGCCCGTATTCAACTGGAGACTCAACCGCAATGTGATTTCTTCAAGTCCTGACAGAATGTTTCACTTGCTACTTAAAAGGAAGGAATTATTCTGCTTGTCCTTTTCTGTACATTTGCCAGACCCTTCTCAACATGGATATTTAGAAAAGGCACGGCGTGTTTAAGCCTAAATCAAGAGTAACACAGCGTTCACCGCCAAGATCCTTATTGTTGTTTTTAATCCCTTTGCTGTCGATGTCCAACAAAGTATTTCCTTTCTTCACTATGTGGCTAAGCTTGCAGCTGTTTTCATAAGGGTCTCTATAGAAGAGGAACAAATGGCTGTTCAGAGCAACAAATTGTTTTGTCCAACACAACCCCTGGAAAGATGACTTTTCATAGAAAAATCAAGATCATTATTTCTGTTAAGCACTCAAGAAACCATTTTGCTCTTGAGACACTATACACACATGCTGTTCACTCCTAGAGGGCCATTTTCAGACAGATTAAAGATAACTACCGCCTAAGACAACTAAAGAACAGGGTTCACCTGCTCACATGAAAGGGGCGGCAACTGGAAATGCTGGCGCAGACTGCCAGTTGTATTGGTGGACTGGCTCCCCCATCAGTTAGATCTATCCTTAACCCAGCAGGAAAAAAACAATAACCAACATCTGGTCACAAGTCTATGAATCAAGCAAGATTTGCTTTGGAATCATGATGAGGACCGCAGGACACAACAACAGGACTGCTGGGAGCACATCTGATTCTACTGTACTTTTAAAAAACAAAACAAGGCTGTGGCAACACAAAATGACAGGCTTTCCTTCTAAATTGAAAAGCAACTTCTGGAGAGAGAGAAATAATAATGTACAATCCCCTCAGCTGCCTTGTAACTTCATTTTCCCGAGCTGAGGTCTAGACAGACACTGGCTGCCTCAAAAACTTGCCCCTAAAAATAAGAATCCATTTTTTTCCCCAGTGTTTTGTTATTTCTCCAAATTACATTAGGGGAGCCAGGTGATGTTTCATAAACCTAAAATTTACAGAGAAAACCCAATTTGAAAATCCAGAACTTGGGCAGAAAAGAACTAATTTGTGCAAAGAAACACTTGGTTTGTACTTCAAAATCTTTATCACTGAATTAGTGAAAAGAGTGGTTGCATGAGAAGCTTTTGATCTTTACTTGGGTTGGAAATATGTTTGAAAAACTAAATAGTATGGATTGCCAATTATCTGTCTCTGAAAAGAAGCAAACTATCATATCTGACAGTGTTATGCTAGATAAGATTTGTATGGGAAAACAAAATACCCATTATAGTCTGCATCTTCTCTAAAGCACCCCACACCTTTGTCAGTGGGGTTTGTTTCTGTGACTATTTAGAATAGTGTACTAGTTACAAACGTACTAGTCAGATAGTGTATCCTTAGTGAGCTATAATCTAGTAATAGTCCGCTGTAATGCACTCTATGACTCTGCCTTTAAAGATAGTTTAGAAACAGCTGTTAAATTGACACTAGAATCATGTTTCTGATGCTGCATCAGTTGCTCTTGGTCCAAATGCAATTCCTGGCCCAATTCAAAGTACTCGTTTTGATTCTTAATGTCCACAAAGTTTACTTTTAAAAAAAATCTGTCCCACATATAACTACCCTATTGCCTCTCAATGGGCTCCTGCTATGAGACAAGGATGGTGGCACCAGGGAGAGGTGCTTCCAAAGGGAGCACACCGATTATGGAATTCTTCCCTTAAAGAGGTCTGTCTGGTCGCTCAGGCATATTTGAGGGCCCTGCTACTGGAATGAAGTTATGCTAAACAAGTTAGCACATATGAAAAAGGAGGAGCGGCAATATTCAGTGAGCCTCTGGCATGTTCAAAATATGGTAGGATTTTTCCTCCCTCGGGTGTACTGAAAGGAAAGAAGTATCTGTAAAGGTACTCGTCATGAAAACAATCCAAACAATTTTTTCAAAAAAATCTCCTAAATTAAACCTTAGAGGTTAGGAAAGAAAAACTTCTAGGCCAGTTTAAAGTCTCCATACATATATTGCATATGTCATGTATTTTTGGCATTGTACAGATCTCACACATCAAGATTCTTCTACAAAATACAAAAACACATTCGCTTAAGAGAAGAGTGAAATGGACACTATCCTGGTGAGTTCAAATCACTGAACAGGGCAGTACAATCAGTGTGGGAAGGTTTGTGAAGTTGCTAGAACTTCTCCTTTGTATCCCTGCTCATAATCAATGTTCACCCCATATAGAATCCACTTCCTGGCTTTATGGCCCACAGAAGGATGTTTCAAAAAATCTGCAGTAAGCATTTAAAGGCTGTAATCCATGCTCTCCAGCCAAGGAATGTTTCACTATGAAAGGTTACTTGATGCTTCAGCAATCAAACTAAGAACAAGTTTGACTCCCGAACCACAAACATGCTTACTTGAACCAGCTTCTGAAGACTGCAGTCTTTACCCCTTGGAAACGAACACTAAATTCTGATCCAAATGTAGTTGCTGATTGACACTGACACTGTATCTCACCTATTGCTTCAGAGGTGGAAAGAGGCAATCAATGGTGATCTTCTGTCCCCTACAGACTTGAAGGAGCAAGAAGACAGAAGTGTACAACAGACACAACATGTTCATTTGCTCTGCTTGAGGTTTCAATAGTCAGAAAGCTGCCTGAATTTTCCCCTTTCCTTCATCCATTCATACCTCTTCTAAATGAGCCTTTCATAACTCAACTGTTGCCAATATCTGCATGAGCACTCAGTTAAAAGCTTCCCATTCCATCATTTTGGAAGTTCTTCTTTGTAATGCATTCCATAAACATGCATTTAACTGGAAGTCCACCCCACTGTCAAGCAGATGAATTCCAACCACAGCCTTTGTTGTTGGCAGCTCTCATTCCCTTCTGTCCCTACCCCCCCCCCCCCC